ACGTCAACGCATCTCTTGTTAATCTCAGTAATAATCTATATGTACGGCGTGCGTCAGTTTGCTTTTATAGTAATTTAACTAGCGGGTCGCTTTCGAAATTCTTGTTTGCCCAAGCGACGCCGAGCCGCAGCCGGGAAGCGGTATATAATATATAATTTTGTGCGCATATTTTCATAATTTACGCCAGTCCAAATATTTGTATAGAACAATATGGTGACACACTTTCCAGTCAATAGAGCAGCAGCTGCGCGCTGACTGCACAATGTGGATTCGAAAATACGCATCTCATTCGAGGCTTATTTGAATTCTGGTACTCTGTAGGCTTTCGAAAAATTTGGGTAAATTGTGTACATAGTCAAGTGCAGATGCTGTAGATAAGACACAATAAGGTCACATGAGGTGATTTTTGTCTATGAAAATCGATGCTCTGCCTCGTGCCTTTTCATTGCCAGACGAGCAGATGAGGTAAATTGATTGCTCAACGAATTAAGGTGATTAGTGAAAACTCAATTAACATGCGGCAGTAATTAAGGTTTCACAGTTGTTCAAAAATACTCCTACGGGCATTACAACGCCATTTGCAGTAATTGTCATTTATCTCAATTTATTTCGTACATTCTTGCATCGTCTAAGGCGTGGTGGTGGAGAGCAGGGGTGGGGGGGGGGGGGGGGGGTGTACATCTGCATGTCTACAGCTTTATGGCATGTGTAATTTTATCAAGTGCTTGCTTTATTATTGCACAGTGGCTACTTATGTTTCATCCTTGATCTCAAATAGTGAGCAAACTTTGAGGCGTCCACTTCTTGGTTCATTGTCAACTGCTTTTCCGAGCGACCCGCAATCGCAGCAGCAACTAATTGCACGTGTCCATAGATTAACGATCCGCGCTACGACGTGGCAGATGGGCACAGAGCGGGCCAATCTTGGTCAAGAATGCGCAGACGCTGGCTGTCGTCGTCCGTTGTTATACATACAAATTGCCAAATGGAAATACAGCGACTAAATTTTGCATAATTTATGCGTGTCGCGTTGTCGCCGAGTTCAAAATTAGTTTCGCTGTAACTTGAGTTATTCACTTTGGCCCCAGAAGCAAAAAAATGTATAGAAAAAAATAAGAAATAAAAACAAACCGTTTGGCTGCTAGGAGTATCTATACTGACAGCACTTACATCTCTGCCTGCGCTGTCGCCTTTGCCTCGGCTCCATCTCATGCCCACACTCAGGCCCAGCTGCAAGTGCGCGAGACGAAGCGATGCGATGTGGGTACGAAAAAGAGCAATTTGACGCTTAAGCGACCCGCTGGCCAGGCGCAGACTCAGTTCAACGGCGACAGTCAAACGCGCAGCACGAAACAATTTTTGGTACGCGGCCAGCGAATTGTTGCCATAGCAAAAAGAGAAGCGCGCCACGCGCCGTTTAAACAAAAGACTTAGGCGACAAACTTGAACTTGTCTAGAGAGCAGTGCAATAATTGTGTATTACATTTTGTATGTATTTCCAGCGTAGTGTGTGTGTGTGTAATCAATCGGCAATCGATAATCGATAATCGGTAATCGGCAAACGATAATCGGTTTCTTGTTGACCTGCAGTTGTCATTGACAATACGGAAAATGATCGGGCATTGTTGTTGTCTACATCTCAGCCATTTGCAATTGTTGAGTCACAGTTCCCCAATACTTACTTACTTATATGCCTATGTGTGTCAAACTTTGTTTTGTTTGTCCGTCAGCTGGCGCTATAATGCTCGCCCAGTCAGCATTGCGCTCGTATGTCAAAATAAACAGTCGCAGTCCCAGTCGCAGTCGCAATCTGTATTTGTGGGCAGCTGCTTGGTCATTGTTATATATAAATAACTTAGCTGGTCGATCGCATATTAGTTCCGTTTTCTGTCCGCCGGCTTATGTAAGGGGTCAGGCGAAATTTTGCGTTAAACTTTAATTTGCACGCATGCATAAATGAAATGCCTCGCTAACTGGGCAAAAACTCATTTTGCTCACGTTATCAGCCAAGCAACGGTTCATAATCGATTCCGTTTTTCTCTGCGCACAATCTCTGTCTCTCGCTCTCGCTCTCTGCCTCTTCTCTGTCTCTCTGCCTCTTCACTCTCACCTTACGCGTTGCAGCTTTTTCGCAGTTCGTTTTGCTGCTGCCTCGCTCGTTTTTGGGATGCCTGCGACTCTTCAACATGTTTGACTTATTTATTTATTTTTTTTCCTTCAATATTTACCTTTTTTGTTTTGATCGCTGCTTACGTAATAGATCGCATAGCGGTATTCGCAGGCAGCTCTCGTCGAGCAGTCACCGTCTGGTCGCATTTTATCAGTCACCTCTTGTCACCAGCCAGCGTCCCCCCCCCCCCTCAGACAGGTGCGTCTCAGTCAGGTGCTCTCCTCGCTGCCTTTGCAGGCTGCACTCTCTTAGCTTTTGGGTTTGCTTTCTGCAGCTAATTTCTTGCTCGATTGCTGCTAATTGTGGCTCAGCTGGCTGCCTGGCCTCCGCTGCTCTCTCCTTTTACAAATGCCCATTGCAAAATCAGCGCATTCTGATGTCCGCTCGTTCGTTTGTTGTGTTATAAATATACATAAATGCAACATTGGCTCATGCTAATTTCCATACCTATTTGAAGACTTCATATATGTATTTATGATTTGTCTATGAATGCAGATAAACACATTCGCGCATGGCCACAGCTGACTTGTTTCTCTCAGAGCTGAAACTCTTTCTTGTGTTCATTTCTCCTGCGCTCTCTCTCTCTCTCTCTCATTATAACTCTCTCAAGTCTGCAGCTGGCCAAACAACTTTCCACGAAAGTGCAAGTGTTTCCTTAGCATTGTTAGCTGCCAAACAGCGGGCCTGGCCAAAAGCATCGGTTTCAGCCCACAACAACGGCAATGTCGTCGCACTTGAGGCCGACGATCAGCGTTTGGCTCAAGTAGGAAGTGGGTTAGTGGTTTATGCTGTGTGTAGTTTTAGCTGTGTAGTCTGCCCACCCCCGTCTCTGCTCCCCACCCACTGTCTTATGCACTGTACGAAGAAGCGTTGCCGTTGTTGCTTGTCATTATCCAGTGGGCGTGCCAGCCTCTAACGCTTTTTGCTAATATTCAATGCACGAGCATTATGAAGTATTTTTCGAAATCTATTAAATAAAACGGCAGCTCATCGCTTCAAAATGCTGCTAGTTTTGAGCGACAGCCGCAAACAAGTTTGTTGCCCAAGTCATTTAGTAGTTGGCTAATTTTCTATCAGACTGTAGGGACGGTGACCAAGCTATTCTTGACGTGCTTTGATGCTACATCTTGTTTAAGGAAGAGGAAATGCCCTATAGCTGAATGCTAACAACAAATTAACACAGTGCCCACCCAGTTCCTAATGTTTGAAAACTATGAATTAATTAGATCATGTCTTTACAACCTTCTGATATGCTTCCGGCTTACGTTTTGGTCTTTTAATTAGCCTGAGTTGTCATTGAACCATCTGTTAATGGTGTGTCACAGTGCAATATAAGGGGAAGCAACATCTTATGCATAGCTAATTTATCATACGCCCTGTGAGCATGCAAATATTTGGTCAGAGCTCCATCGATGCTGCCAAAAGCGCGCATTGACCTCAAAGCAGCAGCACAGCCAAAGCAAAATTAAATAATGTCTGTATTCATTTAATACCAGCACTGAGCAGGACAACAACAATAAAAACAACAGAACAATAACGGCCACGACCACGGCAACCTACGACAACCGGCAAAATTCAACAAATTTGAAAATAATATCAGCCAATTAAATGTAAGACAATGCCGCGCTAGTCGCTGAAAAACTGAGTCAAGTGGTTCGCTAGGTGTTGTCAGCAATGGCTCATGCTTAGCTCAGCTTAGTTCAGTTCAGCGCAGCTGTTGCCGTTGCTGGTGGTGCTGGTGGTGGTGGTGCTGCTGCTGCTGGTGAGCTGTTGACATTCGCAGCTTGGCCCTGACCAAGAAGTAGTCTGAGAAGCATCGCGGTGCGTTCGGTTCGGTTCGGATTAGGTGTGCGTTTCGCGTTGGCAATCACATTATCGTCGTAGACAATCGACTAATGCATTATTCGTTTATATTTGCTTAGTCGCAGTCCAAGACCAAGTTCAACATGATACGCCAAAGACACTCGTGTCCGCTGCTGGTGCTGCCGCTGCTCCTCCTCGCGCTGCTGCTGCTCTGCAATGAGACAGCTTCGATTGCTATAGCGCCCTCAACATTTGGCACGGCTATAGCTCGAGCTGGAAAGATTTCCAATACGCTAAAGGTAAGTCTTATGAAAAATACTTGTGTGCTGCTCAGATAAGTCTGTATGTATTGTGTGTACGTGTGTGTGTTTGAACAAAGACGCAACCGCGAAGCGTGCCAGACCCAAAAATTGCTTACACTGTCTTTTGGCTTTAAATCAAAGCGTCTACGTCTCTCTAGCGTGTGACTTTGACATCGTGTCGCAAATTTGTTGCCGTTTCAATAGTAATTCAACACTTGAGCTGCCGCTGGGGCTACCTGTACGGCTACACAAGTAGCCGCAATGAACGTCGAGCTATTGTCTTTAGCGGTCTTTCGGCTGTTCCGACTGTGAATTATCGCCTTTTTTGGCTGCCCCTAAAACGCTTGAGACTGCATTTACAGGTGGCTGTTAATGGATTTTTATGGACTTGTGCATACTTTATTTGCCACAGCAGCCAACGATTCACGAAAACCTATTCTCAATGCGCCGATGCGGTAATGTGACCCGTGCTTTATGAGCCGCATAGAAGCACAAATATGTTCGCAGTTGTTCAATTGGTTTTGGCCATGGCTCTAAAGAATCTGTGCCCAACGCGTGTGAATAACACCCGGGTGCACAAATGGAATCTGATCTTGAATGCTGTCTGTGCACATTACATTGCCAATGCCACACACAGATCTCAATGTACACACATCAACAACTCAGCCCTCTTTTGGGGGTGAATATCATTGACGCATGGGCATAAAACTCATATTTAAATACACTTTTAAATAATAAAACTCGTGTGTGTACTTTATATAATATTCGCCGCCTTTGTAGGTATATCACTTTACAATGGGGCAATATAGGTTGTCGACACTGCAGCAAATGTTATTTATGATATTTGAAGATTTAAGCCAGGTGAGCTGAGTTTTGCCAAATATATTCCCAATATATGTGTGTGTCACTAGCCATTTTATCTGTTTGATTTAACCAGCAACTGAGCTCTGCTGGTGCTTGTACATATGTAAATATATATCTCTAAATATAGTTATTAAAATCGAAATAAGCTAACACCAAAAGGCCGCCAAACGACGGGCTAATGCATATCAAAAATTATGTACAACCTTCAATTATAATTGTAATTAAATAAATAATTTTATTAAAACTGCAACATTTCCGCTCGCTCTCAGATAACATTGAAAGTTAACTGCAGCTGATAAGCTGCAAGCAATAACAGGTTAACAAGTAAAGCTGCCACAACAACAATAACAACAATAACAGCAATGCCAGCGTCTGCACTCAGCCATTGCGTGCTGCACATAACTGTAACAAAAACAACAACAAGATAATTTAAAAAAAGCTACAAAAAATATTGTTACAAGCACAAAATATAATACCTAAAAATATCTATATAAATTTAAAGAAAAATACGTGAAGAGCTGCCAGCTCAAATAAAATTTGAAGCGTTAGTTGTGCCTCCACTTCAAAAGTCTTTCGACGGCTGCCGCGAGTGCCACAATAACGGACGCAAAACTCGACTTGGTCCCAAAGTGTATACTGCTAGTCGGTGCTGTGTGCCAATAGCCACAACGTTGAAACAAAGACAACTGAGCTCGATAAATCAAACTTTAGTGTTTCGCATTGCGACGCGTGCCGCTGCCGCTGTCTCTGCCGCAACTGCAGCAAATTTCGTACAGCGCTGTTGCAGTTGTCAACGGTTGTGTTGTTGCATAAAGGCAAAAGCGCCCCGCCCGCCGCCATGGCCTGTCGCCCCTATCTGCCCTATGTGCTAGCCATCGTGGCACTTTTGTTGGGCGTTGCACTGATTCTCTTTGCCATTTGCATGGAGCGCCCTCAAGAGCCGAGCAATAAATTGAAAACCGAAAAAAAGTCAACTGAGCAGCTTGGAAATTTCTTTAGCGATCAGCCGGAGGCTGTGCTGCCCCTCGGCAGCGGCTTGGACGGTTCCGTTGCTGGCGATGTGCAAGATTTAGTGGCCAAAGCGTTTTTTTTGGTTGGCACCACAACAACTACAACAACAACAACATTGAGCCCAATGTCGCCAACCGTAAAACAAGCTACTTCCCGGTCGCAGCTCGATCTGAACAGAATGGAAATGGAGCATTCTACGACCACAACTGAGGTTTGTTTTTCATCATTTCGCTAAATCGTAAAATTTTTATGCAATATGTTTTATTATTGTTGCTATCGTCGTCGTTGTTGTTGCTACTATTGTTGTTGTAGTTGCTATTATTGCTATTGCAGCAGCAACTTTCTACATTGCACCAGGTTGGCGATCTGCCGGACTGCAGTTTTTTTTTCTGTAGTTATTTTTATATTTCGAGCGTAGCGTGAAAGTGCCCATGAGTTGTTATTGTTGTTTGTTGTAATTGTTGCTGTTAATGCTGTTGTGTTTGCGATTGCATAATATTTATGTATTACAAATGGCATCATTTGTGCGAGCCTGCACCGAGTTAATGGAAATTAAACTGTCGCTTGCAACTGCACAAAGAGCTTCAAGAGATGGACAAAGCTTTTTAGGCAGCAGGGCCTAAACATTTATAAAACAAGTTTATGTTTATTACATAATAAGCTTCGGATTTAAAAAAATATATTTTACAACATTTTACAAGTTTTAAATTTCAATTAGCTTAAAAGTACGTATTAATCAATTAATTAATAGATGCTTACCCATATTTGATATGCGCAGCGTCATTTGTTTACATCACAATATCAACAATATAGGCAATACAAAAACAGTTATAAATATTATGTGTTAGGGCCGCACAACCAAATTAAGCCAAAGCCAAAGCCACACAAAATCAATTTAAATAAAGCTCATTCGAAACTGTTTTACGACCGGCTACACCCACATTTTTATAATATTATACCACAGATAAAGCTGCAGACACATTTACGTGCCAATGGCTAAAAGAGACCCACACACATAGCGGGTCAAGTCTTTAGACCAGCTCAAAGACATACAAAAAAAATAAAATAAAATAAAATATATTAGCATAATATCGTAACTCAAAAAATATGAACTTGAAACTATCCGCGAGTTGTGCATTTGTTCCAATTGTGTCATGATTCACTTCAAGATACAGATACATTTCAGCTGGGGACACATACCGGCTAATGTGACAGCTGACAGACAGCTCGGCAAATGCGTCTACACATACATATGTACATATGTATATATTGTAGCTACATCTAACTATTTATTAAGCGTTGGCTGCACGTGACTGCTGCCATTGTTGTTACCACTTAACTGTTGTGACTGTTGCCGCCTCTGGCAGGGCTTCTCTTTTTTTGTGTTATGCAAATGGCATTTCAATTAAACGAAATTTGCTTGACCGCAAGGTTGCCCGTTAACATCATTAAAAATGGGCAGCCCATACAAATAACAAAAATAACACACTCACAGAAAAGTTGTCAACATTAATGCAACAGTCGCAGTGAACTTGAGCGTTGTGTTTGCACAAGGCGCGTTGGCTTGCTTGCAAATTGCTGTTAATTCAATTAAAAATTCCGAGCGACCTTTGTAATTGCAGGAGACGACGGCCTGGAAAACGCTGACCTCGCATCCGAATTCGCTGGTGCAATTGCTGCCGTCCCGCGCCATGCGGGTGGTGCAGGAGGTGGTGCGATCACTACGGGTAAGCATAATACATAGGCACAGATGGCAACTCGACGACCTTGACGCTTAAATGCCAAATACATCAGTGAGACTCTCCGTGTGTTCGTGTTCGCCAAATCAAGCGTCAACTTGAACATCGAGAACCAACAATCAATCTCCCGATGGCCATGTTCGGCTTGCGCACAGCTGCAGTTTGAGGTAGCTGAGGTCAAGTTGGACAGTTGGACAAATGGCGTCAAGAACAAAGAAAGAGCTGTTTGCCACCAGCAGCTGCTGCTTGGGCGCCGCACAAATTCAATTACTTTATTCTGGCAAGAACTGGCTTTTCGGCTATTAGACGATTGCGCAACATTTCCACCATGGCCTAGTTGCAAACGCCAGCGCTGTCCAAAATTAATGCGAAATTCTTGCAGAACTTGTGTAAGAATAACATGCAGACTAAGTATCTCACAGATACTTGGCATTTTCACGCGCCGGCAACCTTGCATGGTGCAAGCATGTAGAAGCTTTTGAGTTGCCATTCAAAATTGATTTTTTAGCCTATACATTATTTGTATATACTAGAGAAGTTCGCACGCTCGAACTGTTGCTCACAGGTTTACGATTTATTTACATTTGTAGAAGGAACGCGAAATCGTGGCCAGCACCACGTTGGGCAAGGTGCGCGGTCGCTATCAGAAGTATCGCTCGGGCGAGAGAGGGGGCTACTATAGTTTCAAGGGCATGCGATATGGCGCGGCGCCAATCGGTGCTAGAAGGTGAGTCCAACCCTAATAATTATCGATCCCTTAATTATATTGTGTCCGTGCAGATTCCGCGCTGCGCTGCCGGAGAAGCCGTGGAGTGGTGTGAGAGATGCCTCGAGAGAGGGTCAAAGTTGTCCGCACAAGAACATGATACTGGACACCTTTAAGGGCGATGAAGATTGCCTTTTTCTGAACGTGTTCACCACGCGCATGCCCAAGGAGGATGAGTAAGCATCTTTCAAAGACTTGTATAGCATTATGGATCCTAAATTTTCTATTTGTCTCTTGCAGCGCGCAGCCAAAGCTGCCTGTGATGGTGTGGTTGCATGGCGGCGGCTTCTCCTTTGGCTCCGGCAACTCTTTTCTTTACGGGCCTGACTATTTGGTAGCTGAGGATGTCGTGCTGGTTACTCTGAACTACAGACTGGGTCCCTTGGGCTTCCTGACGGCTGGACCCGATGCGCCTGGCAACCAGGGACTAAAGGATCAGGTGTTGGCACTGCAATGGGTTCGCGACAACATAGCTGCTTTTGGCGGTGATCCAGAGCAGGTGACAGTCTTTGGTGAGTCCGCGGGGGCATCTTCAGTGCAGCTGTTGCTCCTCTCGCCACTGGCCAAGGGTCTTTTTCAACGCGCCATCTCGCAGAGCGGCTCTGCTCTGAATCCCTGGTCAATGGCAGCCAGCTCAGGACAGCGAGCGGCACGGCTAGCGGCCAATCTCGGTTATGTGGGTGCCAACAATACAGAGGAGATTTTGGACTTTCTGCGCAGAGTGCCCGCCATGAAGCTGGTGGAGGCAGCGCCCACAACTCTCACCGCGGAGGATCAGCGCAACAACATTGGGCTGCCGTTTGTGCCCGTCGTGGAGGGATATTGGAATCAGGATTCACAGGAGGAGTTGTACCTTGAACAACCCTTTCTCACTGAACATCCCAGCGATATGTACCAGGCGCACAATTTCAACAGCGATGTGCCCTACATGACGGGCTATAACACACATGAAGCTATGCTTTTTATAAGAAGTGAGTATTGGAAATCCGCGATTCAAAGCGACTACTTCAACCGAAATATATACACGTTTATTGTAGGACTGCGCAAGAATCCACAGCTTTTGAGTATTATTGAGAATGACTTTGGGCGGCTCGTGCCACAGGATCTTAATGTAACCCAATCCCATGATAGAGTTACCCGTGAGATACGCTCCTTTTATCTGGGCAACAAGCATGTTGGGCTCGAGTCTGTGGATGAAATGATAGCAGTATGTAAAAGGAATCTAATTATCTATGCTCATACCAATAGCTTGCTTTGGCTCTAGCTCTTAACAGATCTCATGTTCCTGCAAGGTATCCGTCGCACTGCTCGCAACCATGCCAAGTATGGTAATGCTCCTGTCTACATGTATCGCTTCTCCTTCGATGGAGCTCTAGGTCTGTACAAGCGCATGCTGGGTATTCCCAGGCCGGGTGTTTGCCACGGCGATGAGATGGGCTACTTGTTCAAGTTTGGATTCTTCAACCTAAGTCTGGATCCGAAGTCCATGGAAGTGCAAGTCAAGAACCGCATGGTGCGAATGTGGACGAACTTTGCCAAATATGGGTAATAACTCTCAAGCTTTTGAACTAATAGAGTAAATAAATAAATAAATCATTTTATTTCAGAACGCCCACGCCCAATTTTGAAGATCCTATCCTGACAGCCAAATGGGCACCTATCGATGCCACAAACGTTATGAATAGTCTGAACTATTTGGACATTTCACACGAACTCAATATGAAAACGAATCCCGAGCCGGAGCGACAGCGATTCTGGGATGAAATGTATCAGCATTACAATGGTGCGGCTATGTAGTGCTCCAGGCCCAGAGCCACATATATATATATATAGGCATCACCAAGCGCATTGCTCACCCAACCACACCCACACACTTACATACACATATACACATTTTGTAAACATTTTGCCATTTGTGAAAGAGTGAGCAGAAAAAATATTTAATGCAAATTTCATTGTAAAATTATCGTAGATTGTAGTAGTAGTCAGTAGATATACATATAATATTTTTAGCAGTTAGTTTGTCTATAAGTGTTGCAGCATTTATACACTATTACACAAGCATACACACCCCCACATGCTCATATCAATACACACAAGACACACAAACACGTAGCTTAAGCATTCTACATATAGCATACCCAAAGCCAGCAAACTTTTCCTTACTTCATGCAATATCAGGTGTAAATAGTCAAAGTTTAAAGTTATTCAATGTCAATTTTAAATGCTGGACACATCAATGCCCATCAATCTATCGAGGTGTATTCGGAAACATTCTGAAACACGTTTTGTATATCGTTTGTAAAATAAATCACAGTGTCTTTGAAAAAATTCGAATTTAATTCATTTTTGTGGGTAATTAATTACGACGGAAGTGGATTATTTGGATAGTAGAATATATCATAAGGTGGTCGAGTTCAGTCTAAATTCTGATCAATAAATTATTTTTTCTTTAATCTATTATATGTGGTTATTTGAAATATAAATTTCTTGAGCTATTCGTAAAAATTATTTATAAAAAGTATGTTACACTATTTTATAAAAACAATACTTCAGCTGGTCTGAAATATTGCATACTTTTGGACTGCGTTTGCTATCTAAGCAGCCGCAGCAAAAGGCGCTTTAATAAAATACGAATACTTGTGCAGATTTTTAGGGGGCTATACTAAAAAAAAAGATTGCTAATATTCAGCTAATATTGTCCAAATAATTTCGTTTAAACTATTATACAGCGCGGGTGTGATAGTTTTTTGAAATTAATCGAAGAAATTGCCTGAACTATTAAGATAATTATTTACTATAATAAAATAACTCTCAAAAACACGAAAATTACAAAATCAAATTGAACTTGGCTGACTGCAGCCTAAAAATAAATGCAAATAGGCGCATTGAAAGCATCACAAACAAATTATCACCCCCCTTCAGCGTGTCAAGATAACAATGAGTCCAATGATTGCCTACAAATTTGCACTTATCGGGAACTTACACACACACACACACACATACAGCCAGGCATATACTAACTTGCAACGCGTGACCCAGCATCGGCAGATCGGAGAAGTGGGGAGTGTGTGTGTGTGAGTGTGTGTGCGCGCACTGTGCCTGTGCATAACTTGTGGCCGCTCACAGTTTTGTCGCGTAACTAAGCTGATTATTCAATTATCACAGCTGCTTGGGTGCTCTTCATCAGTGTCGGCGACTGCTGCCATTCACAATTTAGGGTGACATAATTTATGTGGTCGCTGTCATAATTCCCGCACCCCTCCCCCAGTGCCTATCCTTTGGATTACGGAAGAATATTGAAAGTGGACTGCTGTGTAGATACCAGGCACTGGGCCGAGTTTTAGTAGAAATATGTAGGCTTACTGAAAGTTCAGATTAGTAACATCATACTCACAAATATATTTACATATATACTTACATACTTACATACTGCTCCACAATGAAACGTACTACATCCATACAGGACATAAAGAACACCGCTGCACTTCAGCGACAACATTCCGACAGCCTCTGCCCACTGTCCCATCGTCTTCCGGGTAAAGCTCTGCGTGCTTGCTTTCTACGCAACATGGATCAACATTTTGGCGGCATTTCCCTGGCCGTGTCAAAGAAACGCTACCAAGAGTTCAAAGCGTTGCTAGAGGCAATTACTGTGGCATTTCGCCCTCATGTGGTCCTAAAGTCGGCGATAACGCGCGTTTATCGAATCAACGGCACGCCTCTTCATTCCATAGATGACTTCTATGAGGGCGACATTGTGGTCTGCTGTTGTCAGTATGAGCCCTACGTTGATGTGGGCTACAATGTCAACTACCACTATATGCAACTACTGGGCTCTCTCATTCGAATGCGTGAGAAGTGTGTGCCGCTTGAGGGAGGCGAGGAAGAAGAAGAAAATGAATGCTTCGATGACAATGAGCTTGCCATAGATTATGAGAACTGCAAGCTGCCGCAAGCCATACTCTTATACATAAACGTGCAGAAGCCAATCTGGATCCACAAGTCGACGGTGATATTCCAGGGCAGCGGCAGAGCCCGAACCGACAAGCATTATATAATTAAAATGGTGGACAAAGAACACATGTTTACGCGAACAAACGGAACTTACTTTGAGATAGAAATCTTGCGACAACTACAGGACCACGCGAACATTATTGATCTAATATACACGGTGGAGCAGTGCAAGTACATTTACATTGTTATCGAGCGACTCGATTGTGATCTATTTGAGCTGTTGCAGAGTAAAACTGTCTTCCCCGAGACTCTGGTCAAAAAAATCATGAAAGACGTGACCAGAGGGCTAGCGTACATTCATGGGTGTCAGATAATACATCGCGACTTGAAGCTAGACAATCTGTTGGTACAATTCGATTTCTCGGGTCCATTAGAGCCTAGGGTGGCTGCGATTAAGATCTCCGACTTTGGATTGGCCACTCAATACAAAGGCCGCGAACTTTATCAGTGTTGCGGCACGCCCCACTATATGGCACCCGAGCTGGTTACCTATGCTGGATACGATTTCTCCGTGGACTTGTGGTCGTTGGGCATCACGCTCTTCTATATGTTGTGCAGTCGGCTGCCTTTCGCTCATAGCGAGAGCAATCCGAACCTTGTTCAGGAATGCATTCGGAAGAGCCGCCATGAAATACCCTCCGAGTGTAAGAGCAAAATGAGTCCATACGCACAACAGCTCATAAACTCGCTTTTGGTTAAGATGCCGCAACATCGATTGTCAGCTATTGAGGTTTGCCAACATCCGTTCCTCCTGGATAGCCGGGGCGATTCTTTATAAATTTACATGATGTCCAAAAATTTAATTCATTTACTGACTTTAATTTATTATCCACACGCCTCAAACTAATTGGAAAAAAATGTAATAAATTTATGATGCGTGACTTTGAGTCGTTTCACTGGGTCGTCATTCGCCAGCTTCCGCCATCAAATTGAGCCCATTTGACAGATTTATGCGACACGAAGGCAACAGCTAGCTAGAATAGCACTGTTCGCTTGTAGACTGCAGCAAACAGGCGCGTGAGCCTTGTGCAAGCAGCGACGCGTAAATATTAAAATATTACATATACGCCGCATAATCCAGAAGCAAATAGCGTGTAATAGATCGCTTGTGTATTCTGTTATCTGTTGTGAAACATTCAGATTCAGGAATATATTTCAATCAGCTGTGTGCATGACCACAGTGAGAAAGCGCTTACTAAATATTACGTAGACGCTACCCTTGTGACAAATCATTGAGAGGCAAGGTCGTGTCCGCTAAAAGTAGCGACTTTTTTAATTTCTTTTGTCCATGGAATCATCAAATATAGATAAGCAGAACTTATCGCGCTTATCTTCCGCCTCATTTTCAATTTAAGAATCTTTTCAATTGAACTTTTCTCGTATCAACGCGACAATTTTATCTGCTTGTGTGCGTATCTGTTTTGGCATTTGTATCTGTGAGAGCATCAGTCTGCAGTCTGAGTGGGAACCGTCACTGTGAATGTGTGCGTAACTGAGCTCATTTACAGCGGGCCGCCTTTTGTTCACAACTTTTGTTTAGTTTGATATTTTCTTGCTGTCTCAGTCACAGTCGCCGTCGCAGTTAGCGTCAGTCAGCCGTCATTTAATCCGTTGGTCTGACTTACGGAATAGCTTCTGTGGGGTTGTCATCGCAGTGTCGCTTTGGATTTCTGTGGATAGTTTCAGCTTCGGCTTCTGTGTGTGTTTTGCTCTGTGTGCAGTTGTCCGGCGATCTCTCTGTTCATTTCTGGTTCGGCGCGCGTTCACAGAACAAATCACAATTTTAGCGGCGTGCGTTTCGAATACATTGTACACACCAAATAAAAAGTGACTAATTTACTAAAGATGTGCTAAACTTTGTTTGCATAACAAAAGAAAAAAAAAAGCGTAATGCTCGTTTTAAAGGTGTCAATTTATTGAAACTTGTGCGCTCTTAATAAGGTGCTAAAAGTCTTTAATCCCATAACAGCTAATAATCGCTAAAAGGTGTGTTTGTGCAGCAGATATTTAATGTATTTTTAACGGGCGTAACATTCTTAAGTGCCTAATAATAAAATATAGGCGATCTCTAATGTAAAACTAAAAACTAGAAGCCTCAAACTAATGTATTCTGTTGCTTAAGATTTCTTATACATTTTGTCCAGAAACGATAATTATTTATCTTTTATATATTTTCGTGCAAAAAAGTATGCGCATCACCAAAAAGCAAACTTTGTGATACAAGAGTGACAAATTAATAAAACAAGCGATGTAAATGTTACGATTGTTTGTGTTGCACTTTATTTAAATATATATGTGTATATTCATCTAGTCATATGCGCTCAGAACAATAAATAATATCGGGCCAGGGCAGCCTTTGCAATTGATAACAGTTTTGTTGTTTTGCTCGTGTTCATGTGCTCATCTTTTGTTTACGAATATAAATCTAGTTATATGTGATACATTTTTCGCACCTCGATTCGCTGCCATCGCAAGTATCTGTTTGCGCACTTAACGCAACAAAAGTGGCTGACAAGGCCTGACAGCGAGTCAATGCGAAAACAGTTTTGATACACGAGTAGCTATAATGCCTTTTTAAACGGCCCTTCCATCTGTCTTTCCCAGATGCGTTTTAATTTTTCGAGCCATTCGGCAGCAACGACACCAACAGCAGCAACGGCGGCAGAAACAGCGACTGAGAGGTCCAATGAAAAGGCAACAAAGCCCCTCAAGAGGCCAATGACAATCGACGAGGATCCCGATTCGCTGGACAGTGTGATCAGCAATCCGCAGTCGTATCCCATAACGATAGTTCCGAATCGTCCAGCCAGCTTCTATGGCCTCTCCACAAACGGCAAGTCTTTTCAGCGACAGCCCAGTTGCAGGTAAGTCAGCAGGGGGAGTAAATGCTCAGCAAAGGGGGCTTGTGTGTGGCAAGCCATTAGGGCTCTGTTTGCGCTCGTTTTGTCAGGTGTCTAACTAGCAAGGTCAACAGCTATTGATTAGTTAGAGCTGCTCTAATTCCTATGCCAAACAAAGTCAGCTCTGGTGTTCATGTTGGCTTGGGATCAGTTGAGATAGCCCCAACTTTAGTCAAGTTTTGTGCACGCACTGACACTAACGAATCGTGTCCCGATAGCTAACATGCAGGTACCTTTGTCAGATGTGCAGGTGCTACAGGATGCAGCCGATGCAGAGACCGTCGCTGGCGACAAGGACGAAACGTTTGCGCAGATGAAGGAGTGGAAACGCCAGTATATGAGAGGCATCTCACACACGCCCTCACAGGCGGGCGTCTACTATGAGGCGCTCAAAGGATCCAGCCATTCGCTAGC